CGCCGGCTCTAGGCGAGGGAGGGAGAAGGGAAGGAGCGGGAAGCGGCGGCGGCAGCTCCAGATCTCGCGATAACAGACCCCAAGGGACGCGCCCGGCCCCACCCCTCCCAGTGGGCTGTAGAGATCGGGTGAAAAGGCGACGCGTATCCACTGCGGGTTCTCCGGCGGGGGCTGGGGGGAGAGTGGAATGAAGGGAGCAGGGAGAGCGTCCTGCGGGCGCAGTCTGCACGCGGGAGCCTGCCAGCTGCTTTTGGTCTTCTCCAGTTTCCAGGGAGAGAAAGAAAGGGGGGTTGTACTCCAAGACTTAGGCAGGGCAGCAGGTTCCTGAAAGCTGGGGCCGCGTTTCGTTTCTCCCTTTCTGTTCTCATAAGAGAAGCGTAGGAGCGGTGAAATTTTCTCACTTTCTGAAATTTCTGTCCCTGTACGATAGACCTTGGCTGGCTGGTTTGTTTGTTTGTTGGTTGGTTTATTCCAGCTTAAATAGCTGCCCATCTTATCTACCGTATATGACTCTGGGTGGCTTACAAACGATTAAAACGAATATAAACACAGCCAAAAGGGAACCATTTGAAAACCAATATAAAAGCATATCAAACAACCATCAGAAAAAAATCCATGGCCTGATTAATCACATCTAACAAGACACTCAATACAATCACTGTGCCAGCTCTGCCACGGAGTCTGGTTAGCAACTCCAGGCAACCCCCGGGCTGGAGAAGACGAAAATCATGCCAGACGGCAAAGCGCTGCTGTTGCGGCTAGGAAACTACAAGGGTGTGTCCGGGAGATGCCAGCTCGACTCGAAGGAGGCTTTACTTTCTTCTTTCCGTTCAGTACTTGGATGGGAGACCACCAGGTAACCCAGGGCTGCAGTCGAGGCAAGAAAGTTGGGTGGGGGGTGGAAATTCCTAGGAAAAGCAATCGCAAAATCACTTCTCAAGCGTAGCCAAGGAAGCTGCATGAAAGCGTCTCCCCCAGGAACTGACCTCGAGCGGGACGCAATTTTACTTTGATCAATGGGGTTGATGCCGGCCGGCCTCTGTTGTTAAAGAAGAAAAGGAATATTATTGGTCAGTATTTGAATATGCCGGTTTTTTTCCCGGCTCCGAAGACTCTCCTTCCCTTCCTTTTAGTTCTACCTCTATGGCTCAGTCGACAGCGCAAAACTTGAAAGGGGAACAATCGCCCCTGCTGATTGGTCGAAATCTCTGCCTTCCTATTGGCTATCGCAGACACGCGCGCTCATGATTGGCTCGAAAGCGAAGTTTATAAAGTAAAGGCGGAAAGTGGAAGTTCCCGGGTTTACTTTGAGCAGCGATTGCGCGAATGATTTGCAGGTGGATCTTATAGGCGCCTATTCAGGAACTGATTTAGTGTTATTTTAGGGGATTTATGGGCTGTTGCGGCTCTGGGCGGCTTAAATAGCCCATCAATGAAAACAGAAGAACACAAAGAGGAAAATTAGCAATCAGGAAAAAATCAGAAAGAAATTCAAGAAAAGAAAAGAAAATCAACGATCGGTTAAAAGACCGAAACCGCTTACAAGGGGTCTAACCACCCATTCTAAACCAGGCCTTGGGGATAAACCCAGGTTTTAAAGGCTCGTCTGAACAGGGCCAGGGTGGGAAGGAAGTCTCTCTGAGCGCAATGGGTCTTAGTCTCTGGGCCTTCGGTATATGACTGTGGCCTGAGCGTCCTCCGGTTTAATGTGTGTTCGCAAGTTTTAATTACCGTGGCCGGCGCGCCCGTGGAGGGGGCCGGTGACGTCACACAGGCTGCGTCAGTTGTGCGGTGACGTCACGAGGCGAAGGCATCTTTGTGTTCGGTGAAGCTCTAGTAAAGAAATGTAAAAGACAAAGCCGCCGATGAAGTCGCTGCCCTTTCATGACAGTCAAAACCAGCTTCTTAAGTAGACTGCCTCATTCCCCATCACGTCAGAACTGTGTGAACGCGGAGTTCTGCAGAAATCAGGCAGGGGGTTTGGCGGTTGACGTAATAATTGTTCCCAATAATGGAGTCCTTGGGGTTCTCTGAGCTTGGTTCTTTTCTTGCAAGCGTTTCATCACAATAGCTTACGGCAGTGTTGTCCAAACTTGGCCACTTTAAGATGAGCGGACTTCAACTCCCAGACTTCCCCAG